TGATATATTTTATTCATGTGAAAACAATGTACACATGTGAATCAGACCAATGAGCTTTTATTTAATATATAAAAAATTGAAAGGGTGAGATCATGCTGTAATACATAAACATATTATAAAACCTATATCTATATAACTAGGATGATAATGTAACATTTGAAATTAGCTCATATACTTTGTTGAAGATGTGGTGTAGCTATTCACAAATGCATTATGTATGTATGGAGGACTATTACTTGGTGTTGAAGGATGGCCTTGTGTGGGTTTAAATTTGACGCAGATGGGCTTCTGCTTAAGCTTCCATATAAAACGCGCACCTGTTGTTTTGCGCTACATATTCACACCTTTCTGTGTGCCATTTGCATCTTCAAATCTGCCATGCCTTATGTCTGAGCAGAATATTTCAAGTCAATATGAAATCAGAAGTGTCCTTTTTATGTTGTTAGCTTATTTACCTGCTCATGTTAAGCACAATTCATCATATCAAGTAAAATGTCATGTTTTTTTTTCCATCAAAATGTACTTTTGTAGAAAATCACTGTCCACCAGTGGTCTGGGGGGCAATATATTAACCCTTGGTACTGTGTTTCGCCACCAAATCCCATTTACTGACTTGTGCTTGAATTTATAAAAAAGAAATGGCACTCATCTTTATGAGATTCCAGGTACAAGTATCTATTGTAGGCACTAAAATGCGACTTGAAGACCACTGCCTTACCGCTTAGAAGTCTTCTTTACTGAGGTCTTTTTTCACAACAACAGACATACTTCAGTGGAACTGCTGTAGTGGAGCAGGTGTTCTTCTGGAAAATAACAGGAAAGAGAAACCCCTGTGGTCAACCAACAACCATGGTGGTCATTAGAAAATCTAATTTCGTGACTTGTTATTTTTGTATCTCATAGTGCTAAACGTTGTCAGTTTCGTTGGAAATATATTTTTAACGCATTAAGTTACCAGCCAAAATGTCACTGTAGTGAATACATACAGAGGCTGCATGTGACTTAAGTCTTTCCCGTGCTGTGTAAATAATCAACAATTTATGTTTTCTCAATACACATCAGTTACATAAACCCGATTTGGACTTCTGCTTAGAATTTCAGACTTCAGAGGCTATGTCAAGTAGTGGCAAATTTGTGTTTGACCAGAAAGTAAAACAGCTAATATCAGCATGTTAAAACTAAAATAGATTTATTTAAATTTAAAATCTGTAACATTTTTTGATTATCTTTGAATAAAAGGTTAAAAAGAAAAAAACTGCTGATTTTTTTAATTTATAGGAGGAAATATGGACTTCTCTTATTGTTTACTATAGACAACTTAGTTGTGAGACTGTTAAAACTAACCCCGCCATGTGGGGGCTGTACTTTAGCCTTGCTAGCTCTAACTGAGATGTTTAAATGTTTCAAAGCAGCGCCAAATTACCGATACCAAGATGTTGATTGGAATAATATAGCTGTGAAATCTGTAACTTGCACACAAATCAGTAATGGCACTTAAGTGACTCTCATAGTACAAAAACTGTCTTCATGGTAGAGCTGAAAAAATTAATATATTTTGTAATATCAAAATTTCGATTTGAAAGAGTGCAGTTTTCAGGTTGCAAGAGCTGCAATTTTTATTATAGCCTACATTGTCAACAACGTTGTCTTCAGAGGTTTTTAAGTGGAGAAATTGAACCCAATAACAGGGAACTACCTGTAGATGAGCAATCAGAAGCAACCAAACCCCCATGTGCAGGGACATCACAACCACAGCTAACAGGCAGTCTGGCCTAGTATGTTCAGTCTTCAAGCCGCAAGCCAGATAAACATGGATTTTCTGGTTTTCTTGGCCAAAAAAAACAGGCCTTATTTTATAGAAAATAATCGCAGTTAGATATTTTGCCCAAATCATTCAGCCCCACTTCACAGTGAAACTTGAGGAACATCTGTCAGATTGCTTTGAAAAATCACAGATGGCTTTGGTATGGGAATACATAAGGAATACGAGAACCAAAAGCACATTGTACTTGAACATAAACAATCCATGTTACATTTTACAGTGTGTTAGGTTGTGCTTTGCTTTCCCCTACCACAAAACTAACATGGCCTACAGTGTAGAGTCATATTGAGCATTATGTACACAACCACTCAGTTTGCAATAGTAGATTTCCTTCCAGTGTCATTCAGCCTTTTCACCAGCACACACCATAATTTACAGCGGAAATATGAGAGACTTGGCTATTGATTATTAGCATCGCTGGAATTTTTCTCCCTGAGACTGAGAGACTACAAGGCTCCCAGACTAAACAAGCAGTCTTGCCCAACACTAGTGGCTGTTGGAAGGTGTTGTATCCGTATGTTTGGACGCACACCAAGCCCAGTGCTTCTCTGGTTTGATAGTTTGTCTTGGCACGTGCTATCGATAGGGCCTACTGCACAATTTGTTTTATTGTCTTTGTGTGTGGGCCTTGTTGGAAGGGGGAACTTGTTGCTGGGAATTTTTTTTCATGGCAGCACTGAGGAGAAGAGAGGGTATTTTTTTACAGGCTGAGGGAGTTTCCACAGTGCTGTACTCAGTGAGTGCCACCTACATCATTACTAGGAAGGCCTTGTTCACACTTCTCAAACTACTCTAAACACACACACACACACACACACACCCCCCTCAGTTTTCATTTTTACTCGGACTGTGTTTGCCTACACAGAAATCTTGCTTCGTCCTACACAGCACATCAAATGTTTGGGCACCTGTAGCTTTTCTATATGTTTTCAGATGAGCATTCTTTCTTTGTTGGTTTGTAATAGCTTATAGTGTTTTTTTTGTATGTGCCATTTATTTTGAGGAAAACAGTATCACCCATGTTTATGACAGTACTGCCTTGGGAATAATGCCAGAAGCTCAAGCTTTTTATCCCCTTGTTGTTTTGTCAGCATTCATCAGAATCAGCAGCTTTCAGGTGTTTAACCCCAGCCATTAGCTATATTTAATTGTAATTTGATATTAATTATTTCTCATTTGTAGCTCATTGAAACAAGCAGAGAAATTCTGTCAGATGTGTGGAAGAAAGTACAAGAACAGAAAGAGATCTTTTATTATGATTTGATAAAAAGTTGTTGTTGTGTGTAGTCTTGGTATGTGAAAGCATTTTTCTCATGTTCTTGACATTTTTTGAAATTAAAACTAAATTTTTTTTATGTAACTGTATAATTACTTGTGTAATTAGGTACTTACTAAGCATGGATGATAATGTAAATTTTCACAAATGATTATCATCTGCTGATGTAACATTATAAACTATATCATTGGGAGCCAAATCCATATATGAGTTTTACAGAGCCTTAGCTTAGCTTAGCTTGCATTTTGCCTGATGGTAACTTAATTACGATATAATTACTTTCTGGGCTAGCTTCTAATATTACTTAATTATTTTTAACAGTAATATTCTACACAGATGGCATGTAACACTGTTCACATCCAGTGGTTCTCCATGGTCATTTGGTGGGAAACCAGAATATTGCCAAACTGGTGCATTTGGAACCCTTTTTCAGGACAAGCTCATCCATTTTACTTTGTGTCGGACAGCAAATCTCATATAACAGAGTTTCTTTGTTTCATTTGCGTGTACCAGCAGTCTCTGTCGGACTGAAAATCTACATCATCATTTTTAAAGTTCGAAATATGTTTGTGTGTAGTTAATTAGTTGGTGATGTTCTCTTTATATAGCCTGTAATGCAGGTTTTCTGCTGTACACATTTGTGAACTAACTGTAGATTAGAATGATGGTTAAATAAAGGTGAAGCAATAAAAAAATTAGTCATATAGCAGACGAAAGACACCAAAAGACTGGTAATTTGAGTATTTAATCTAGTGGTGCACTAAAAATAAACTTGACCGAAAGCGAAATTATGACGCACTCGGCTAGAAATCAAAAGAATATATATTTTCCAGTTATTTCTGCCTTACCATCATAATTAACGTAATAATGCTGGAAATGCTACAAAGGTGATAATCACCATATTGAGAAAAAAGAACGAGATTTCATTTTAAATAGCTTGGTAAATAATAATAAACATTAAAAATTATGAAGATGTTATACTTCATGGTTTCTCGAAGGCATCTAAAGCTGAATTCCAGAGCAACTCCACTATAATGATGGAAAACACTTGTTTGAGTCCCAGGTGGATGTGGCTTTGGAACTCCTGCCTAGCAGTCTGAAGTTTCTCCAGCAGGGGGTGCTATGAGCATGCTAGTCGCTTTCGTGTTACCAAACGATATTGAGCTATTGAAAGCATGCAAGCTGAAGACTGTAAAGAATGGGGCCGCAGCAGGCTGTGTTTGAGTGTTTAACTGTTGATCTGCTGCTGATCACACTGCTTCAGCACGTTGGTGCTGACTAGCACAGGAGAGCGAAGAAAACGAACAGTATTTAATCACTATTTCCCATTTTCATTACCACTTAGATTATTTTTAATTGTTAGATTTTGACACTTTCTCATAGAGCTTTAATCTTGTGCTTTTTTCTGCCAACATTTTTGGCTTTTTTTCTCTTTTGGTTGAAATTTTGGTGTATTTCTAACATAAAGTTTTGTGATATTCAGTAATACCAGTTAGCGACCCAAGGCTAGTTACCTTAAAATATTACAGCAAAACAACAGTAACAACTCTTGATTCTAGATCTCCTTTAAGGCAAAAGATTTTTAGTATGTGCTTTTAACAGTAGTTTGGGAAAACTGTCAAATCATTGATAATTAACATTAACACTTATTTTAAAACAAAGTGTCACCAGACTTCTTAATGGCAGTATATGTAAATGGAAAGATTGTAGACCACCATGCCAAGAGGTTCTGTGATGTGTATGTGGAAATGTATGCAGTCATCCTACAAACAGCCTCCAAGTTGTTGTCCAGCAGTCAGGCCAGACCCATTGTTAATGCAAACTTTCCATAACAAAGTCTGTTGCATCTGTTTGAGCCCTGAACAGCCTGAATAATGCACCCTGTCCTTTTTCTCTCCGCAGCCAGATAACTGCTTGAGCATGAAGACGAGGAGTGAGGAGAAGGATGATGTAATGGCGCTGCGGCCCAGGAGAAAAGCCCTCTTTTGTCGCGCCACTGCAATGGTGTGAAAGAAAGGCCCCCACTCTCCCCTCCCCAGCAAACCCCCAAAACACAGTCCAGCCGCCTCTCACTGCCTGCCTGCTGGAAGTGGGCCGAAGTAGACGCACTGTTTGGCATAGACACCCGATTACGGCATACGTACTCTCTTAAGCTTACAAACACATATAAGCAGGACAGTGCCCCCATACACTTCATTACTTCATACCCCATTACCACCTACATACACACACTCACATAGTGTGCAGTGCCTACCCGCCGGTTTGTTTTCTACTCTTTCAAGGCTTCTTTGCTTCTTTTTTTCCCTTTTCCTTTCTATCCCTCTCTTTTTTCCCCACTCTCTTTTTCACTTTTTTTTGTTGGGCTGGGCACTGAGCCCGCCAGCCGAACGCCACGAGGGTGACATCATCGCCTGCCGCCACAATGGGGTCGTTCTTCTCCTGAGGGCCCTCGCTGGCTGGCTGCGTCACCGCTCCGGACCTCCAGCCCCACGGGACTACCAGGAGGAGGAGGAGGGAGGAGGAAGAGAGGAGGAAACGGGGAGAGATAGAGGGAGACAGAGGTGGTGGATATGGCAGAGCCTGCTGGGGCAGCAGCCCTGGCCTCAGTCAGAGTCATCGGGCCAGAAGGTCTGGTGGCCCTGCTGGAGGGCGGATTGGACCGTGTGCTCCTAATTGACAGCCGGCCCTTTGTGGACTACAACGCCTCCCACATTCTGGAGGCGGTCAACGTGAACTGCTCCAAGCTGATGAAGAGGAGGCTACAACAGGACAAGGTGCAGATCACTGAGCTTCTGCAGCATTCAGCCAAGAAGAAGGTGAGTGGGGGGGGTTCAGAATACGTCATCACTGTACATGACTGCTCTGTTTTCCAATTCAGAGGTTTAGGGCTGAGCAATGACAAACTTATCACAGCAGGTGAGAGCCTCAGACATTTTACACTACACATTTTAAAGATTTTCTAATTGCAGAAAAGTAACATCATTTACAACGAACAAAAATATTACAAAAAAACATATATATATTTGCACATTTTAATGCACAGTTTCGATTTATTGGCTGAATTTAACATTAGGGCTGGGTATCATTCAGAATCTTTCAATACCTTATTCTAAATTACTGACCAAAAGTGGGTGTGATTTAAACCAGAAATGAGCATGAGGTACTGAAAGTGGGTATATTTACTAACCCGCAACAAATATTTTTTATAACATGCATACGAAGTGTAATTTAGACACTCCGCAGTACAGATATTGAAACAAGCATGCTTACTGGCACACAGTTGCTAAAACTGCCTACTTAGATATTGAAATTTGGTACGGAATGACAATTTTTTTGAGACTTGTTAGCATTGACGTAGTTTGGTCAGTACTGTGAGAATATTGAATTTCAATATCCAGCCCTATTTAACATCCTGGAAAAAATAAACATTTGTTACATTTAAATTTAAAATATTGTGGAAAAAATAAAACAGTAAATTAATGCAGGATGTGCAAAAGTTTAGAAACATGCCACATTTTAGGTTTTATTTAACCAATATTTTAAATTCAGCAAATACATGCAGAAATAATTTGACCAGGGGTGCCCAAACTTTTGCATAAGAGTGTATGTCACAATAAGGTTTTTTGAGCATATTGTGGGTATAAATTGAAAAAGGGTGTTTAAGTGTGCCACTACTGGTTTGTTGGTCGTGACCTCAGAAAAGCTAAAAATCATTTTTTAAGATCATGAAAACGTCTTTGAGTATTAGTGTTAGTGATATTATATATTTGCTATTTTTCCCACCCCCCCAGGGTGGTTCCTAACTGTGGTCCTGGAGTAGCCGTGCTCTACAGTTTTCTCTGTTCTGACACACCTGATTCAAATAATCAGTTCATTAACAAGCCCTTCGTCTGTTGAAGTGTATGTGTTAGAGCATGGAAAACACTAAAATGTGCAGGACAGGGGAACTCCCGGACCAAGATTAGGAACCACTGCTCTATTTTGCTGCAAGTTTGGCAAGTCTAAGATTCCAGTCTTCAGCAGCTTCTCACTGACACCTGGATCCAGTGCAGTTGATGGAGTGCAAGCTGATAGTCTATAGCTGGCTGACAGTGTCTTTTCTGTTTTGAACCACATCTATCAATATGTGAATGATGAATGATGAATGCTTAAGGGAAAGACTTCTTCCACAGTGATGGTGAACAGTGTCAGGGTCATGCGAACACCTGGAAAATACATGTAAAATGATATGAATTGTGGACTCTCAATTCAAGACTTTTGTTCTGAATGCTGTGTATGCCTGGGTGAACTCTAGAGATATGAAACCACAGACACCGAGTATTGGCTGATAACAATAATGATCCACTATTTTTTTCTTCTTTTCTTTTAAAAACTATTAAGCTTCTGTTTATGTTATGTTGCACTTTAAGAAATTATGTGATATTTTAGGATAGATTTGTTACCGAATTGCAGAGTAGTTCATTTTTCCTGTGATATTCAGTCCAGTGTTTTCTGCTAGTATCGGATCAGTGTCGTCTCTAAAGACTTTCACATCTAGAGTTGAGTTTTACAGAGATTGTTAGTTTACACAAAAACACACCAAAAGTCCATGTGTGCAGTCTTTGGGTTCATCACAAAGTTCATCAGAGGTGTCTTGATCTCAGCTTAGAGTATAAGTGAGCAAATACTGATTTTCATTTAGATAAATGTGAGTTTAAGACAGGGCAGACATGATCTCATAATGGGGACAACCATGAGAAATTTAGGCTAAATGTAGCTGGGAATGTTGACTTATTAAGGTGGAAACAACAGATTTTTTTTTGCGTGTGGTAAAAATAAACATTACCTCTTGCAAAGAAAAAGTAGTTCCATTAGCTAACGATAGCATTTGCTAGCTAGCTTGGTTTGCACGTGATATTGATTAAATTCCTAGAGGAATATGGGGGCGAGTGTTAGAGGGGGTGTGCCCTGACCGTGCAAGACCAAGTGATAGCTGGACAATATGTTGTTTACCTAGTGGTGAAACAGCAAACGCAAAGCCGACATAAAAAGGAACTACACCGCACTGCTATTAACTCCTTTCTCAGTAGTACACTTAAAGGTGGTTCTTCAAGTGTTCTTTAGAAAAGGCAGTGGTTCTTTTTAGAACCATGCGTTCTGTGTAGAACCAAATTTATTCTTAAATGGTTCTTAGCATGATGTAGAACCATTTCACCGTTCAAAGAAGCTTTTAAGCTTGCAAATGGTTCTTTGCATGTTCATGGTTCTATATGGAACCATTTGTCTTTGCCAAAGAACCCTTGAAGAACCATCATTTTAAAGAGTGTAGTACTGTCCTTAGTTGTGCTTTTTAAGCATTTCTGCGAGAGGTGTTTTTGTATAAATTGTTGGTCAAAGGACTGATTAGGCATGCGCCCTTGCCACAGGTGAAACTGATCATCATACGAGGCCATCTCAGCTTCTAATAATTCCACTTGAGATTTCTGTACAGCGCTCACATTTTATATACATTCACATTCTATTTTTTTTTATAAATGAGGCCCAGCGTCTCTGACCTCAGCACCTACATAAGCGAGTGTTTATAAAGTGTTCGAGGCGAACATGAGAGTTAAATAAGCCATCCCCTCTCACGAGGGCCATTGAGAGGCCCTAGCAACAGGTTGCCGAGTGACCTCATCCCAGTGCACTCTGTCTCTGTCCAGCCTTGAGCCTCCCCCCACTTACACACACACAGACACACAGAGGGAGCGTGCCGCTCGCTTCGTTGCAGTGAGACAGCAACGGCAGCCAGACTACAGGAGGCCGCCTGACCCCCTCTCCCTCTCTCTCTCTCTGTCGCTAGGGCTGCAACTAACGATCCTTTCTACAATCCATTAATCTGTCCACTATTATTCAGTTGATCTGCTAATCTTCTGTTTCCTGGCACCACCATCATTAAAAGTTCTGCCTGCAAGCAGTTTCTTCTTTCATGGTGCAAAGAAAGAATAGAACCCATAGAATTAAAGCCCTTAACACTTCCTATAATACACAGGTTCTCAGCCTAAAATTAAGAATGTGACCCTTTAAAATATCGATGGATAGTTCTAGATCTAAAATCTGATTAGCTGAGCTGCCTTCAAAGCTATTCATATAGGGACCCGAAACCATATTAAACACAACCTATGTAAGAACCTGGTTTGGTTGAAACCAAGGGGCTAAGAACTATAATATATTAATGATTATATGACTAAAAACTGCAAAGTTGATGAAATGACTAGGCCGTATAATGATGGGCTTCTGACTAGGCAATTAAAGTTCTAGCTCTTGCTGTTCATCACATCCTTCTCAGTAATTTTGCACACCCATGTGCGAGTTCCTCACACCACTGTGCATCACACTTTCTCACTGAGAACATGAGTGAAATAGTCATCTGTTTTGTCGCTTGTCGATGTTTGCTTTTCAGTATCATACATCTTTGTAGTTGTGCTATCACTCTTTTTTAAAAGTGGTCCCAAATACCACTATTTTTAGCCGTGTTAACAGCTGTTAGTAATCTTACATAGCGGAACCAATTGCCTATTGCGCTGTAATGCATACAGTTTCAAAAGGTTTCTCATGTTTGTCATTACATTTGTTTTTTTAACTGATAGGATTGGTCAAGCAGTTATTTTTTTGGTTTGCCAGTAAACAGTTAATTGTTGAATAATTTACATCCCCAATATTAACTTTGTTAAAATTTCAAGTTTCGAGTAACATACCTTTCACCCCCTCCCAGTCCATACAATCCACATATGGAAACTTTTGAATTCACCATGTCGTCACAACTGCCAGCTTCGCTCACCCATTCACACTGAAGAGATGAGGAGTGTTGTTGCTGCAGACTGTAACAGCGTTATTGGGCAGAAGACGTGGGGGAAATAATTGAACGTGCTGAAGAAATTGCCTCAGTGTAGCCTTTAAAAAGATCTAGATATATGAAAGGAGTTTATTTCTTCTGACATCCCTGAGGACGTCAGTCCAAACTTAACAGTTTGTTCCACATTTTAGTCTTGACCGTTTTACACCTGGCATTTACATATGTCCTGAGTGATATTTTAAATATAAATTTAATATCTGTTTAATTCTGAGGGATAAGTTTGAAAATTATCACGTAAAATGAATTATGACTGTTTTTGGTACATAAACCCACACAAATGTTATTATTAAAGTTGCCTCAATGAAATGCAAGAACCGTCCAGACCTTGGACCCTTTAAGTGAATTTAATCAGCGTTGTCGACTAATCGATACAGCCCTATCTCTTTCTCTCTCTGTGGCTGCCGCAGCAGGAGGATGGGGCAGGGAGCTTTGACTTGATTTCAGCCATGACCACTGTTGGCGGCTGGCCAGCGCTCACTTATCTAGGCCAAAAGACGCCCTGCTCTCCCGGTCAGATACCGAGAGCGTTGCTGAGTTGCTCAATGCAGATGACATCAGAACTGCGCTGTCCTGTGGAATGCGTGAGAAGAGAGAGATAAGACCGGGAGAGATAGCCGGGGAGGGAGGGAGGAGTGCATGCTGGAGTGAAAAGGGGGAGACTGACCCTCCTGCTGCTGAGACCCATCTGCCCTGTTGACAGTGTGGTGGTAATAAGACCCTGCCACTGGAGAAATCTTTATTCTACCGTCATCTCAGTTATATCAACACAATGTCAGTTTGGCTGAAGTCATTATTTGTTGTTTTAACCTCTGTTAACTTCCAGCTGGGCCCCCAGTCAGGCCCTGCGTCTTTGCACAGAAAAAATATGATGCATTGAAATTGCTTGATTCAAATGTGTGAAAGACAAAATTGTGCTAATGTGTTTTATTCATATGGAAACTCAGTGCATCATGTCTTTTCAGTGTGAGGCAGACCAGAGTGCTTATGTTTGACACAATGCAGCAAATGTTCCTGCATGCTTCAAGTCCCAAGTTGTAGTACCACGCATCCCTAGAGCCTCAGCTGGGATTCAGCCCTTCTGCTTCCACACATTTCAACTGCTTGTCAGTTCTAATCAGTTTAACTCTATTTGCATAGCCTTTTTTGGCATAAAACACAGTTATGAACCTGCTTCTTTGAGAGCCATGCCCTGATGCCTAGTGAGCAAGTACCAGCTTTCTTCATAATTTGTTTTTTTTCGTGTTCTAACAAATCAGCTAAATAACACTATATTGCATAGATGTTGCAGTTATAACCTATGCACAGAAGAATTTGTCATATATATTTATTATTTATCACTCACAACTCACCAAAACACCGTCCAAAGCAGAGGAATTCTTTGGACAGATTTAATCGATAACACAAAGGAAACATATTTTTCAGATTTACCACTCTTGTACCATTATCAGCATTACATATAAATAACTAAAGACATGAAGGTTTTCAGTACTTTTTAGATTGTAAATAGAATGGCTATATTTGTGTTGTAGACATTGTCACAACATATAGAGTAGGTTTCTCTACAGTGAACCATTTAACATTACGTGAACTTGTTTACATCTCAATGACTGAATTATGCAGAAAGTCTGAAAAATTGGTGAAATTCCCTCTTAAGCCCACCAGTGGATTGTTTTTATTAGCACTCGTGCACTGAGCTATTTCTAGGTGTGGACAGCAGCTTTAACTAAGTGGGTCGTCGGATACGCTCCTGCAGGACTTAGTGGGCTGAGCCCCACCTGAAGCCTCCATCTGAAACCAGCCGCTCATAAATCAATATTTTCCATGACGTTATCTGGAAGCAGCAGCGTGCCACAGGGCAGAGAACTGCCTTGCCTGTGTGTAAAGCTGAAGAAACCCAATACTGAACCCTCAACTGGTTGGGCTTTGGTGATGCTGCTTTGAATATCTATAGGCCTGAAGCAGCAGCAGAGTTTGGAGCAGTGAATACAGGTCTGGGATTAGCTGCAGTGTTCTTAGCAGTAGTGCTTGATGTTTATATAGACTTGTTGAACTGTTGGGAGGTCAGTGTGAGTTTTATCTGAAAATATATAGAGTCTCCCCTGAGGGGCTAAATCAAACCTAGAAGTAGGTCAGGTTGTGCTTGAGACACCAGATCTGGGTCTGATTAAATGTGTGTGTGTGGAGGGCTGTGTTTGCTGCTAAATATGTGCGTGTGTGGGGAGCAAATTGTTTGTGCAAATGTATTTTGTCTCCCTAGGTTTGAGTGTCTAGAGAGCATAATGAGTACTTTCTATGAATATTCAAGAAAGTCCTCAAACGACATGCGTGTGAGTGTTTGTGTGTTTGGTCCACAGTGAGATCACTAATTGAGCCTAGAGGGTTGTGTGTGTAGTTACTGAGCAACCTGAGAAGTAGTTTGTTGTTGTTGTTTGCCTTTGTCAGAGAGGTGAATGAAGCAGTGAATGACTCACTTGGGCATGTGGATGCTCTTTGAAAGATTTATATATATATGGTTGTAAAGATACCAGAATTTTGGCGTCGACACCAACGCCAAGTATAGTATCACAATGCTTGATAAGAAAACTATAGCAAAAACATAAAACCTGATAAACACCCTGTGTTTACTGGACTGAACTCAGCTTAACAGATTACAGCCTGTTTTTGTTGTTGCACTTTTAAAGCCCTATTCGGATGGGTTTAGTTTTACACAGGAAGTGGGGTAATGTAAATTTTAGCCGCATTGCTCAGTGACCTTTTGTCCTGTCCGAAAGTGTCGTGTCAGTCATTTTTATAGACGGTGCACTCCCATATCAGTAAAGATTTCAGTGCCTTTTACTTTCTATAAAACCAACCTCAGAATAACCCCAAGTTATAATAATGCCGTGCAAAATCACATGCTGGTAAAACGCTATCATATTATGTGGAAAAGGAGCTTCTTAAGTCTGGAGGCTCTCAAAGAAGTGTTTGAGTTCTCTGTGGCTCAAATCAAGTAAATAGGTGTCGTCCTCCTTAAAGTGTCCTTCCTTAATTTTAGAACTTTGAAACATTTCAGTGCAAGTGGGCAGGGTTAAACTGCTGTAGGCTGATTAGGTGGATTATATATATATATATATATTATATATATTATATATATTATATATATTATATATATAAAAGGTGTTAGTTTTGTGATATCACAAAATACACACACACACACAACATCATCATCATCATCTAAACTGCTTATCCTTCTGGGTCGCAGGGGTAGCAGGAGATCAAAAATACAATGAATTCAAATTGAGCGAAAGTTATGTTTTTTAAATGAACAGTGTTTACTCTTTTATTACCAAAATGATGACATGGGTCCTTAAATAAGGCATTTAAAGTACTGAAATTTAGAGTATATGTTTGTTTACCACGTTGTAGTATTGAACACATATTGAACTTCATTGCTGTCGGGACAAAACATCAGATGTTTTTTTCACATAATTTGAAAAGGTCAGTATCCCTTTATGTTGTGTTAACATTTCATGATGGATGGACCAACAGAAATGGTCCACAATCACTTGAAAAAAAATATTTATCCATTTATTTCCATTAAAAGTTAAGAGTGTTTTCCTTGTCCTTACCTTTTTCAGTATTTGTTCGGTATTATATGTATTTTAATGTATTAAAATTTATTACAACCACAAAAGTGAGAATAACTCAAAACTTTTATTATTTAGTATTATCATTTGTAGCTTTTCTGGAATCAAGTGTTTGTGTTGCTTTTCTTTTCACTTGCCTAATTTTTCTGTTCTGTTTGCATGAATGCTTGTGGTCATGTGTGTGCGTGCTGTGCGTGCATGTTTCAGTTGGAACTGCAAGGTCAGGAAGTGGTGGTGTATGATCAGAGTTCGTCTGACCCCTCCTCTCTGTCATCAGAGGCCTTTCTCAGCGTCCTATTGGCTAAACTACAGAGGAATTTTCCATCCGTCCACCTGCTCTCAGGTTAGATTTGACCCCTTTACTATGACATTACAAAGTGTAACAAAGCATGTGCCCTACCAACTGAGGGTCTAGATATACAGTATTGTGCAGAAGTTTTTGCATCTGAGAAAATGAAATGTAAAGCCAATAGTCTGTCAGTAAACACTAACATTTGAATAAATACAAGTAAACAGTACAACATAGGGATATTATGTTGGTTTTATGATTTTACTATTTCCAGAGCTCACTCTAGGTAATCTAGTATTTACAGTTACCATTCAATACATAGTGTTCAGCTAATCAGTCCCTCAGTAAGTTAAATCAGTTGTGCTGCTGATGGAATTTAACAAATTCACACAATGACTGAAGAGCACCAAGAATCAAGTGGTCAGGAACCAAACCTCAGTTCTTCTAACCAACATATTAAAACGTGTTTTAAATAAACAAAGCAAAAAAAACACTTACTACTGAAATAAACAGTTTAAAACAGTCTTTCTGCCTGCCTACGACTTTTGTACAGTATTGCATCTGTTATACTTTTTACATTATTCACCTATAACGGGTTTAAAGAAGAGTGAATAAGGATTCTCAGTCTCTGTTACTCACCCTTTTGTTGTTCTCTGTGCTTCTTATAAACGTTTATGTAATTCTAATCAAGTTAGAGGTTTACAATGCTATACTTTGTAATACTCAGTGTATTGTAGGTGGTTAGATAAATATTTACATCATTACACAAAAAAACTCGAGATTAAACCACAGCTCTCTGTAAGGTCAGATACCAAATTAAGTGTTATAAAAGTGTTGCGTAACTTTTCATAAGCTTTTTTTTAGGTCTTTAATGTCTGAAAGCATATCAAATGTTAAGAACAGAAAAGTCAGAAACTGTCAGCCTGGCCAAGTCCTTTTTTTGTCATCTTTAGCAATATAATTACAGGGACAGCATCGGAAGAAGCCTCCAGAAATATTTAGCAACCTGAGATAACCCCTCTGTTACTAAGTAACCAGTATTTTCTTTGCTGAGGTCATGGTGAAATGAGACAGAGTGTTTTTACATTGTGAGCTTTCTCGCTGTCTCTCACTTTTTCTTTCTTTCTCTCTCTTTTTCTCTCTCCAATGCCACATAAACACACGCAGCTATTCTAAGAACAAATTAAACGTCTCCTTTGAACTCGAGCCAACCAAGAGGAGTTCGTTTCAGAAATTCAGTTTGAGAAGTTCTTGACATGTGGAGCCAATAGTTAGGCATGACATCATCATTACATAACTTCTGTGCGTGCGCGCGTGCGCGTGTGTGTGTGTGTGTGTGTGTGTGTGTGTGAGTGAATGAGCGTGTGTTAAAAGGACATGGCTTTTAGACTGGCTGAACAATAGAATGTCAAAACAACACAGATGTGAAAATTCTCATTCACAGCATGACTAGCCCAAAGAGGGAAGTGACTGTAGTTTCTGAGGATATGAAAATAAACCCACTATTAGTCATCATGTTGTAAAGCTTCTCAAGCACTGATAAATAGGCCACAGCAGAGGAGGAATAAGACTACACTCTTTTTACACTAAAAATAATGCTTGATTTGAAGCTGTTATCTATAAACAGAAACACGTTTCCACGTTTTAGAAGAATAATGAATACTATAAAATATGAATAACTTTAACTTACAAAAGTAAGTAAACTGGCTGTCCTTTTGAGTTAACTGAACATTAAATAGTAAGTTAACGAGACAGTACATGTCCCCAGTCCACATGGTCCATATAGGGAAACTAGTCTGGAAAAACAGCCTGTTTAAAATTCACTGTTTATGTGATGTCACGAAAACCAACTCATTTACATATATCCACTTATTCAGCCAGCAGCATTTTAGCCCCACCCATTCACCCTGAAGCTGTAAAGCCAATCAGAACAGAGATCATTTACACACAAGTCTTAACAAAAACAGCCTGTTTAATTCTGAGGGATAAAGAGATGTTGGATGATGGTCATATAAAAGTGAATTATGACTGTTTTGTTCATATAACCACATATACTTTAAGTGGACTTTATAAAATGCAAGAAATATGTAGAACATAGGTCCTTTAAGGCAGGCTAGTTACTTATTATTTTTTAAAACTCAATTATTTTTTTAATGTGCTCATTTTTTAAAACAAATCATTTTTTGACAGTGCAGGGCTCAGACAATAAGCAATTCTGAAATAGCAATAAATCAGGACAAAATTAACAAAACATGTAATTAGGCCTTTTCGCACCAAGTCAAAGGTTTACAGACATAAAAAAGAAATGTTTTGAAAACATCAACAGTATCAGTAATGCGCTCTTTCATGCCAGAGCTGGCACCTCTAGTTTGTTCACTTATTTTAATGCATTAATCTTCCGAATCTCTGCTTTTTCTACACTGTACAGCTTGAGTTCCTGTTAGAGTTGGTGGAACTCCTCACGCTGTGCAACTCCTCATGCAGCAGAATGTGCTGCTACACAGTGTCTAGTGTCTGTAACGTTGAGTCGTACTGGCTTAAAAAAACAAACAAACAAACAAAACAAAAACTTGGTTGCCGTTAATGCTTGACTAATACATTTCTTCCTTTGTGTCTTCTTCCCACCTTCTCAGTGTTAAAAAAAGTACACTGAACTTTTTGACGTGAATGTTTCAGCATATTAAATCCATAGCAATCTACACGGTGTGAAAAAACCTCACAACAACAAAATATTAAACTGCAGTCAACCACAAAAAATACTGCTTCTTAGGCCCCTTTCCCTGTGTGCCACCATCATGTCATACTCACTTACACCGTGTAAATGAAGTACAACTTACTTGGATAATGGATCAGGGGACAGAATGCTCTTATACACAAGATAAAAAGAAAAATGCAGTGTGTCCAAACCTTGACTGGTACTATGTTATATATTGTGTATATATAAATATACATATAATATTTTACAAATCCTACTACACAATAGTACACAAATACTGACAATACAAAGGAGTTTTGCAGGTGCACCTGCTGACTGTTTTAGCTGTACTAAGTCCACTGAAACCTATGACTATGTGTTAAATGCATTTGGGTGTTTTCCATTCATAGTCAGTGCCGTATTTTATGACACAGCTGTGTAATAAGCAGCCAGGTTTGGACCGAAGCTCGGTCAGTGGAGCCTGGGTCACTGAAGTGCTGCTGTTTTAGTACCATTGACAAAGCCTGCTGGTTGCTGTAGCAACACCTCTGTCATAACAGTGACATTAGCTCTGATGACTCCACAGTAGGTAAAAGGACAAGCACAACAGAAATGACTGACGATGTCAGCTTGGTGCAGTTTTACACAGAACAGTTCTCAAACCTATTTGTGACGTCAAGGAAAGGTGAACATTTTCTATAAATATAAATAAGTATGTAATAGGGCATTTTCAGGATGTTTCTTAATGTCACATGCTGCGGTCAACATGTTACTGAAAGCTGAACAAAAGTAGGCCTGACCACTGCCACATATAGTGCTGTATTTTTTTCTGAAACATCTTTATGAAGAGCAAAAATGTTTAGGGTTTACCATCATAAAATCCAAGAACAATTAAATAATTTTCATAATAAGCATGAAAATTAATGGCTATTTAGAGTAAAAAGATACAGAAGGACACACAAAAGGACAGATACATATTTGTAGACCGTATATAGAGTATGTATAGTTTTTTTCTACAGTTCAGTGTTTAATTAGGCTATTTCTGACAAATTCATATTCATGTGAGTGGCTAGCCTGGAAATTTGAGATACAGTGAGGTGAGTTGTCACGCAACCAGAGGTGAATTTCTCAGAGAGGCCACAGATGGCTGGAGTATTGTATGTCACACAAACATGTATGCGCTTCAAAATTTATGAATATCAAATATTTTGTCAGCTCCTGATTATCTGATGTTTGTGCTGTTATTATTCTTACTGACACTCAGTTTGGTAATGTGATTATTTTTAAAGGAAGCCAGATTCACACAATCACATTCTGCCATGATATTGTGTAAATTTATTAACTGGGTTTTTTCAAACAAATAAAATGGACTTAAATGTCCATTAACACATAGAAAACCAGGTCTTGCCCTTTTGAGATTCCAAAAAGCTTTCATATGAAAAGATAAAGTAGGCTTGTAAAAAAATTATGAAGAAGTTTATGAATATTTATAATATAAGTGCAATATAAGTGGATAGGGAGGATCTCTAAGAGATGCCTGCAGGGGAAATAATAATAATAATAATAATTTATTTGCCACTCTACTCATACCCAAGCATGCTTTACAAGCATGTGACAATATCAATATACATAAAACAAATACATAAAGACTCTCAAGATACACAAAAAGATGTGATAGATGACTAGACACAAAATCTTGTAAACACATTTAAACAGGAACAGGAAGACAAGTCAGTCTAATTTTATTCAATATTTATCTTTAATTAAGCAATTAAAATTAAGTAAATAATCATGACAGCCCTTAAAGTAATACCTCATATAACCTCATGATTGGCTTTGAACAAAACATAAAGAGACAACTTAATTTTACTAAACAATAAATAAATCAGACAGCATCCATATTGCTCTAACTGATGTATCAGTGAAAAGTAAGCATCTAATTTATGTGTTTTGTTTATGTGTTCCAGGTGGATTTGTAGAGTTCTCAAATCTGTTTCCGGGCCTTTGTGAGGGCAAGTCCATGCTGGTGCCGTCCTGTATCTCACAGCCCTGCCTCCCCATCAACAGCAGTGGCCCCACTCGTATTCTGCCCCACCTCTACCTGGGCTGCCAGAGGGATGTACTTAACAGGGTGCGTTACAGTGCTGTCCTGATCACTATTAGCACACACAGTTGATTGTCCAGCACATGGTGAAGGGCTGGGCTTCTCAAATGGACCGTCTAGCAGGTGTACCAGCATCAAGTGTATCAGAAAGCAACTGTATTGCAAGATAACTTGGTAATCCTTTGGTTTGTGAAATAATATTGACTTGTGAATGTTTTTGTAGACAACAATAGGAAGCACAGACAACCACATGCACATTTTCAATGTAATGACTGAAAGCTCACAAAACCACACCACTGTCTCTCCCCCCACTGCAGGATCTGATGCAGCAGAATGACATCGCATACGTGCTCAATGCCAGTAACACCTGTCCCAAGCCTGACTTCATTCCTGAGTCCCACTTTCTGCGTGTACCGGTCAATGACAGCTTCTGTGAAAAGATCCTACCTTGGCTGGACAAATCGGTGGAATTCATAGGTTCGCTGCCAGTTAGAAAAAACACCTTTCAAGAAATGATTTGTCTTAAAGGCAAATTTTAGTTACTGAAAAACCAAAAACTTTCTCACATGAGCATGCCTACTTTCATTTTGATGTTCTGTAGCCACTGCTTTGAACTCACTTACTTTTATTTTGATATTCTGTAGCCATGATCTAAATGCAGGGTGCTTATGTCAGAGTGGTCATTAAGAATGGAATTTCATAGCTTTGCACTATTATGTAACAATGTACTTTCCAAAGCTCCATGTAAAGCCAGAAGAATAGCCTTGCTGTGTGCCAGCAGGAGTTAACTTGTGGCCTATTTACTTTTTCTTTTTTTCCCTAGAGAAGGCAAAGGCTTGTAATGCCAGGGTTCTAGTCCACTGCCTGGCAGGAATTTCCCGATCAGCCACTATTGCCATTGCCTACATCATGAAGAGGATGGATATGTCCTTAGATGAGGCATATAGGTATGATTGCAACCATCACAAAGTATCAGTTTTCACTTAGAATGGCAAAAGTGTCCATTTCTTAAGAGCATTTCCATTAGGAAATCAGGAGCCCCTCTTTCCAGATTCTCTGGTCACATGAAGTCTGACCGGCTGTTTTAATGAACCGCATGCCTCCAGCAACCCCTCATTAAAATGAATGTCAGCAGCAATTAAATCTTCTGCAGTGAAGTTTGCTAATGAGAAACCATGAAACAAACAGCTAACAACATGCTCTTTACCTCTCTAGGTTTGTGAAGGAGAAGAGGCCCACCATTTCACCCAATTTCAACTTCCTGGGCCAGCTGCTGGACTTCGAGAAGAAGATCAAGAGCCCCGGAGAAGCAGAGACCCATCGCAAGCAGGTAGAGCCGGCGGAGGACCTTAGCCAAGAAGGAGACAGTAGTGGCCCAGATTCGTCCAGCAGTGCAAGGACCGAGACCTCGTCTGTGGTGGCCCCGCTAGAGCCTCTGACCCTTCCCTGTGTGCTGGCTGGGGTTCCTGAGGAGCAGCTCCTAGCTCAGGCTCTTTGCAGCTTGCAGCTAGGCGAGGGTCTGGAGGACAGTGCCCGCCTGAAGCGCTCTTTCTCCCTGGACATTAAGTCATACGGTGAGTCAAGCGCAGGAACCACCCTCCGGGAGGGTGGTGGATATACTTCAGACTACTACAAACCATCCTCCTTTAAAGACCCAGCAGCCAAACCCTGTCAGTTCTCCCCAGTACAGGAGGTTTCGGAGCAGTCAACTCCAGAGCAGAGTCCGGACAAGGAGCAGGTAGATGGTCCAACAAACAGCAAGCCCTGCAATGCCAATCCACCCATCAAGCCCCAGGCCACAGCCTCAAAACCCCCTCCTCCACCTGTAGCCCGTCCACAACCCCTGCACAGAAGTGGCAGCATGGAGGAAACCCCGAGTGCGGCTAGTTTCCTGCTGGGCCTGTCTCGCTCACAGCAGCACCTGACCAAAGGTGGGCCAGGAGCTCTCAAGGGCTGGCACTCGGATATCCTCCTTGGTTCCATGGCCGTCTCCTCGTCCTCACTGAGCGGAGGGGGCTGGTACCTCTCCTCCGAGTCAGCACGCTTCTACTCCACCTCAGCCATCTTCAGCAGCAGCAATGGAGGTGGAGGAGCCCAGAGCAACTTTGCGGCAGCATTCAGCTGTAGCCAGGGGCTGGAGGCAGTGAGGAGACGTGGGCGGCAGCGAAGCGGTGACTGCGGGGACTCACGCCGCAGCTGGCACGAGGAGAGCAGCTTCGAGAAGCAGCTGAAGCGGCGCAGCTGCCAGATGGAGTTTGGTGACGGCATGACGGAGAGCCGCTCCAGGGAGGAGCTGGTCAAAGTAGGCAGCCAGTCAAGCTTCTCTGGGAGCATGGAGATCATTGAGGTGTCCTGAAAGCAAGACTTCAACATGCCACTTAAACTAAAGCTTGAGCAAAAAATTTAGTTTGCACAGTATTCCATTTACCCCAAATGTAATTGAACAAAAACATGTTTGATGTCCAAAATTTGCTTGTTTAGTTTGGCACAAACTTGTTATAGCCACCATTTAGCTTTGTACAAACTGCATACGTAAATCATCTTACTCTTGCCTCAAACTGCATCGATTAAGTAATGTCAAATAGACTTGCATATGTGGTTTCCGAAAACGTGAACCGGTTATCTATAAAAACGCCCAGAGGTTTCAAGACGCCTGCTTTAGATGCCTGTTTGTAGTGATGCAACATACTTTTGATTATGTTAATAGATACTTGCATTTCATACAGAGTCTGAAACCATGCTGCTACAACGCTAATTGAAGAGGTATAAGGTTCCAATAACCTCGTACCACTAGTGCAAAAACTAAGGAAGCAAAGTTTGTCTTGGCAGATCAACTACATTTGGGGTTAACTGTGTGAATTAGATTTTTTTCCACAAGCCATCACTTTGAACTCCACAGATTCACTACAGATCACTTCTCATAAGAGGGAAGACGTCCGTGTGTTATCTGGCCAAAATCTTTGTAGGTGGCTGGTTTGGACTATAAACAGCTAGTAGCGGTGCTTTGTAGACTCTTCTCTATTACTGACCAAGAATATTTTTGTAATAGCTGAATTTTACAGGTAAGAACTTTCACCGAATGCAGCTTCATATCACTGAATGTCAAAAAAAGCGGACACACAGACACTTTCAGTTGATACATAAATATATGTTTTTTTTTTCGTTTTTAATTTAGTTTCGTTTTAACTGAGCCTATTTTTGTCTGTGGATCAGTACCGATTATTTACCATTTTCAATCTATATTGTGATTCATCCAATATGTTGTTTGACTCCAGTACTGAAACTTGAGCCCGGAATTGAAGCATGAATGAAGTTGAACTGGATTGAAGATTTTTTTTTTTTTTGCCGCATGCTTCAACATGCCACCAAGGGTGTCTAAGTAGCATTCATCCAGTACCTCACAAATCCAAATTAAGGGCTTTTCTCTTTTTTCTTAGCAGCTTTTTTTTCTTTTTTCTTTTATTCTTAAGTGTAGCTTATTGACATTTAAAATCTCAGGACGATTAAAATCTTTTATTTTGAGCAGCAGGAAAAGACATTTTGAAGAGGTCCCCACCAATGAAAGTTATTCTGAATTACTCTGATAAAGGCAAAGAGATAAAAATGCCTGTAAAGAGAGGCAAAGCCTGCCACATTGAAGCACAATGACTGAAGAGACTGAAACTGCATGCTATCTGGATGAAAAATTTGAACTGCTCCAAAGTCAGTTGTTAGAAGTAGAACAGAAGCTGGAAAAAGACAGGAAAAGGTGTTTTGGCTCGTTCCACAAGCGGCCAGTTGGTTTAGCAAGTGTTGAGGAAGAGGAAGAGAGGAGGAGGCTGAAACTCGTTCCAAACTCATTCAAACACACGTGCAACTTGATCTCGACTGGAACCCGATCATTGAGAGTCGCCATCGACCTCCTGTTGAGTCTGGAGAAACCTTTAGGAGCTGTGTTTAGACTCCACTCTACATAGTAATATATTTTGCACTACTTTGGTCGGTTGTAAATGATCAACAACAGTCATTTGCAGTTAGCTTTCGGGTTGGCAATTCATGGCAATTTTGTCTTGTTGGATCATAGTGCTGCGTGATTCTGCCACAGCGCAGAAGGCCGTATGTGCTGGGGACAGTGGTGATTGTTTTAATTGTGCTGATTGTGGATGTGTATGTGTGATTGTGTGTTGGGCCTGTAACAGGGAATACATAAAATACAGAAAGATCATAAAGACCAAGCAACACAATATTCACTGAGTAATGATTCCAAACCATTGTACTGGAGACAAATGTTTCAATACACTACTGTTTAAAAGTTTGGTTCAACAGTACTGTTCAACAGTATAAATAGCATAAAACTAATCTAGAGTAGGATAAACATGCAGCTACATAGCTTTCAAATAATTAGTAGGAAGCTGTAAAAAAAAGTGTCCACAGTGATCTTTATATCAGGGGTTCGCAACTGTTTTAAGCAGGTGAATATTAAAATGATTTTTTTGTTAATTAGATGCTTTTGAAGCCAGGTTTGTATGTTTATTTATTTTGTGTGTTTACTTTCATTTCATGAAGGTTGCGTTCATACTAAACATACTATAAATGAGTACGCAGTCTTACTCACATAGAATAATTTAGCTTGCTGAATAGTGACAAAGTTTTCTCACTTTTTGTACTTGTGGCCACAACAAAATGCTAAATTTAGATTTTTTTTAAATCATATATTTAAAAATGTTAATTAAATTAAGTCTTTCAAACCCCTTGCAATGTCACCATAAATCCCTAAGGGTTCCCTGCTTGGGGAACCTTGCTATAGAAGATTCTTTAAGACTGAAAATGAAGTTATAATAAAATTAACACACAGAGTGCCTCATATCTGAAAAGTGATCAAATTTCAGGGCTGATAAATTGACAGAAAATGTCTGTACATACATAATTACAGTATATTATTTATAGCTTAGAATAATTAAAAATCCTTGAACTATTTAATGAAACATCTAAAACTACCTGGTGTCTGGTTCATAAGATTTACAGCTCTATTGTATTGAAAGTGATTGGTGTATATAAAGTAACACAAATTATTAATATAACAAGCGATTCCAAACTTTTAAACAGTAGTGAGTCCCTGTTCTAGACCAGGGGACCCCATGCTCTATACAATTTTGTGTTTTGTCCACTTTAACTCAAGTGACTCAGCTCATGAAGGGCTTCCGAATTGAGCTCCTGAGTTGAATCACATGTTTCAATGGAGAAAACACAAAAAATACAGCTAAATATGATCCTGATCCTAAATGTGATCCCTTCTGCTGTATGCAGGATGTACTGTGCACAAGAACATTGCCCTTTGAAGCCAATTTAACGTTTAAAAAAATCAGTGGCTGCAATAAAATTAGGTCAAAATATATTTTAATACATTAAAAGCACGCGTGATGTGTCCACAAGACCGATTACTGAGAGGAAAGTCTCCAGTCTAGATTCTAGATGATCAGATAACATACTGCATGTTAGCCAGCCAGGGTGGTACACTTGTTACTGTAGCGTGTCCACAACATTTGATTAGTATGGATTAAGAGCATAACATTGTGCCCACATGTTCTCTAAAATATCTGGTGTCTCATTTTGTGTTTGGCATGGGGTTCAGAGTCATGTTATTTGGAAATTATTGGGCATTTGCTCATACATCAGGCAGTGTTCAAAATTTCAAGAGGTAACATTAGAGCACATTTTTTGTCCATCAACTGCAAAGTCATTAGAAATTGACTGAATTCAAATTGATTATTGATCACACATAAAATCTTTTGCATTACCCAGTCACTTTTACATTGAATGATGCATTATATGTGAACGGGAAGTGCTGAGGTTCAGTCAGTATTGTAGACTTAATTCCACTGCATGTCAGTGTGTTCTAGCTTGGATTCTTTTGATCTTTTTCATTGGTGCTTCTTTTGAGAATGAACAAATGACCCAGTACAGTGTTCATGGCAGGCTCTTTGGGTATTACAATGTATGGATTGTCTTAGAACTTGCAAAGCCCATCATTTTAAAGGCAGGGACTGACCACACAATAGAGGAGCGTACATATGAAATTACACAACAGCGCAACTCCCTCAGTTTATTTAGGTTATGATGCTGCATTGGCTCTGTTGGACTAGAAACATATCTTTATGCAGAGGAAAGACGTGTTGAAAAAACATTTCGACCTTTGCTGCAACGGATTCTGACGCAGTGATATGTTAACCAACGGAAAAATGGATGGGTGGGTCTGATTTTCTCACTTAAGTTTGTACATGCCTCTACGAATACCACGCTCTACCACTCCGTCCTTGTGCTGTAGGCACCTTATTCTCACCTGCATGCGGATCAACTTTGCTGCCCGACTCTCAGAGGAGGCACCTAACACAGGGAGAGCTGACTCTTCTTGGACCAGGAAAGAGACGCTTAGGCACACCAATGCTTCACAGTTTCACCAAAACCACCTCATCCACTCGCTACCGAGCCAGAACCTTCCAGTGCAGAATGTTGAGGCTGGGTGGAGCATCTTTTTGTTTTCGTTGTTGTTGTTGTTGCTTTAATTTCTCCAGGTGCTTTTTTTTCTTTACACAGAGCAAAAGTGTGACCAGTGAAACGAGCAGCTTGTTGGTTTTGAAGGTTTACCTAAAGCTGTGAAAACAAATGTGGCCTAAGAGTTCTATAAATGAGTGAAGGTTTTTTTTTTTTAGTTTTTCTTTAATCATGAATCATCTTAAAATTTAATGCTGTGATGCTTCATCACAAAATCTGCAATATTAAGAATCAGCAGCACAAGTTTTTCATAGACTGGCTCTCCAACCATTTAGTCTCAAATCACATGGAGTGTTTGACCATCTAGCACTCCTTCGAAAATACATTAATTTATGACGTAAAGCCAGTGAAATGCAAAATTCCTAGTGGATCCAAATTGCATTTTTTCCCCCCTAACTGAATGATCATGTGATCTTGCATACATAGAGGAGGGGCGTGGATTCTTTAATGGGCAGTATGTCATTAGCTTTTTCAGATGGTACCAGTGTGTGAAGTGTGTGAAGGCCTGTGGAGATGCTTGAGAACATAGTGTGCTTTTCCTTCCGTTGTGTTCAGTTTTACATGTCAATGAAGTTCTATGATGTTGATGATTTAGTTGTATGTCCGACTGTTGAATAAAACCTGAAACGGTACTCAACACATGCACTTACTTGTGGATTTACACTTAAGAATTTCTTAAGAATGCCAAGCTGCTGACTCTGGATCACACTGTGTCCATGTTGAACTTAGTTACCCTGAGCTAAAAAGCTGAACGATCCAGGAGCAGCGATTCGGATCACCTGCTGAGTTTGGCTTTCTTCCTCCTTTAAAAAATGGAGAGAGATCTGGCTGTTTTCTTTTTGAACCATATAACTAAAACAGACAAAAGTACATCGCATGGCTAAAAAGAGTTTTAGCAGCTATCTTGCAGCATGAATTTTGTCTGTACCTCTGTCCTGTTTTATAGATAACAGTGTCATACAGTGTCAGAAACTACACAAGCAAGTCTATTTAAGATTACATAAAGGGCCCAGTCCAATAGTCGTGGTATTTAGTATTTTCCTGATGGGTTAACATCACAGTGTAAAGGATTCTAATAGTTTAACTGGTGTTCTGGGACTGATACCAGATGCCTCTGATGGTTTCCTGAAGGGGTTTAAAGGTGTCCTTCAGGAAGCTAGTGGTCTCTAATTGTAACCATTAAGCCAATTCCCATTAGAATGCGAAATAGAAAGTGAAAATGAGTGCTGTTTTTTGCATGAACGGATCAACTAAGAACAGGTCATTTAGGTCTTCATTGACAGTCTAAAAGGCACAGCGAGAAACCGCTTTCGAAAAGGAACATTTTGTAATAGTGGTAAGTACTGAGTCATGTCAGAGCTTTAAAATTTTGCAGTCTTTTACATCAAAGCCATTTCAGAGAAAAGAAAAGCCAGGTCAGACCAGTCCAGTGATATCGGTTCTGTAACAAGCAGAGAGAGCCCACTGCTCTTAAACTTGTGAGCAATACTCTAGGTGCATATGGCTTACAGGGAACTTAAATCTGTGTTTTGTTTTGTTTTGTTTTTTTCCCTAGGTAGGTTAATCTTGCTTTTTTGGACACACAATATACAAGTACAAAGACAGTCCTGTGAATAACTTTCCACAGTCCATTAAATAACCAATGTACTTTTCCTCAAAACAGAATACAATGTCTGATGTGCGGATGGCGTCACTATCACGTTCCCACTAAACTGTTCTGGTAGGAAGCCATGGGATGTGTAGTTCAATTGCATTTTAATCTTTATAGTCAAATGGCACAGCTAAATATTCTATTGTACTGTACCTATTATGCTAGTAGGGTCCCAAAAAGATTCAAATTCCCAGCTTTAAGCAATTTTTAAGCCATCAGAAATTTCCCCATGGAGTAACCAGCACAAATGGCTGGCAAGGCAAGACGCAGTTGAAGTCAAACAAGCCTAAAATGCCTTGCCATCCAGGTGCACGTTCAATCTCAAAACGCTGTGCATCCATTCGGTACGGTTTCCGGGTTGATCAGCATGTTTTGTTGAAACGGTGTGAAACCAGAGAACTTGTAGAAAGGAGAATTACCACTCTGCAATGTCTTCTCAAGGGTTTCTCAAACGCTAGAGGGCGCTCCCGAGCGAGTCCAAAATGAAAGGCTTAATATGGAGCATTTGAGCAATATCTAATAGCTTTAACATTTTAATATAAAAGAATACATTGATTTCCTGAACACAGAACAGCATAAAACATCTAAACACTGCTGTTATATTTTTAAGAACCTATAAATTCCATTTGTATAAGTTTAAAACACCGCGTCATGTACGTTCATGGCGTCAGCGAGCGCAAATAGCCAATGAGCTGCTCTGCTCACCAACCAATCAGCACTCGGTAACAGTAATGCTAACCAATCAGCGCTCAGTAGCAGTAATGCTAGCCAATCAGCACTCAGTAGCAGTAATGCTAACCAATCAGCACTCAGAAGCAGTAATGCTAACCAATCAGCACTCAGTAGCAGTAACGCTAGAGTCCTGCTGCCCAAAACCTGTTTGCTATAGAAAACAGGAAACATGCAGGCAAGTTTTCTTTGCTTTTTCAGTGACATACATCCTTCTGCTTTCTACAGTTAAATGAAAGTTCTGGGCAAGTGGTTAGAAACTAATTTAACTTTTCGTTTTTTGGCTTTTTAGCTCCATTTACCCTCATTCAATGAGGACACGCTCAAGGGCTGTTTTTGATACGATGGGAGAAATAGGAAGAGGCCAGGCTCCTCCTAAACGGGCTCTGGTGACATGGTGTGCAACGGGCTTTGAGGTCCGTTTCCTCTCCTCTGATGGGCGTGTCACAGTGTTACCCAATCAGCAGCGACGTGCATATCGCTGCTGTCGGAACAAAATCTCGTAACTTTACAGAACAACTCAAACATACTTAACTTTTAATGGAAGTAAACTAAGAGGGTTCTTTTTTACATAATTTTGGACTGTTTCAGTTGGTCGATCATAATGAAATTTTGACACAATATAAAAGGTGCTTTTTCAAATTATGTCAAAAAAGTAAAAAATGACAAAAATGGAGATATGTATTTGTCCTGACAGCAATGATATAAACCCTGCCATATTAAAAAGGCAGGACACACAGTCCTCGGTCACTGCAGCTTGGTGTACACAACAGCTGAAGGCATTATAAGACATGCCTGTTGTAAGTATTTGAGTGTCAAATTTGAGTTAACAGAATACGCTAGAAGTATGCCAAGAATGGCCTTCTCAGCTGCAATGCTTCGATAACAAAATTAAGCAATAGAACACAAGAGGAAGTGTGTTATGACGAATTATACAACAGTTAGTTCTGGCCACGCAAGCTGATTGGTTGAGAAGCGTTCTAACCGTGCTGTTATTTCGTCATAACATCACGGGTTTTTCACAAACACTGTATCACTCCGCTGAGACGCCGTTCCTAAGCCACGACTTTGACAGCTGTAGGAGACGCTCAAGCCATTTGAACGTTTTTACTTCTTACTTTGCCACAAACAGACAACGGACACTTTTAAGATCACATTTGACCGACAGCCGATTTGGTCAGACTCTGAAGATGAGACTCGTTACTCTGACGTATTATTTAAGCAATAGAACACGAGAGGTCGTGTGTTATTGCAAATAACATCGAGTGCCGTTACTTCGCGATAACACACTCCCTCTCGTGTTCTATTGCTTAAATAACACGTCAGAGTAACGATCTCCGCTCACTCGCTGCACAGCCAGCAGTTCTCCAGCTCCACACAAACCAACTGACAGTTTGGGAATTTAGTGTAGTCTCATCTTCAGAGTCTGACCAAATCGGCTGTTGTGATCTTAAAAGTGTCCATTTTCTGTTTGTGGCAAAGTAAGAAGTAAAAACGTTCAAATGGCTTGAGTGTCTCCTTACAGCTGTCAAAATCGTTGCTTAGCAACGGCGTCTCAGCGGAGTTTGTGAAAAAAACGTGCTGTTATGGCAAAATAACAGCGCGGTTAGAACGCTTCTCAACCAATCAGCTTGCGTGGCCGGACCTAACTGTTGTATAACAGTGTTTAACGCACCACCGTTTCCGTTTAAATAAACGTTTTGCTACGTTTTGTCGGGCCTGAATGCAGTTCAGGAGCACAGACGTAGATACAGCTGGTGAACTACACCACATATTTGTAATAAGGCTGAGCTGACGACAAAAAAAAACAACAAAAAAAAACAAACAAAAAACAAAACAAACAAAAAAAAACATATTTGAATAAGAAAAACAACTGATTAAGAACATTTTAACATTTTTAACAGGACAATTTTAATGTTATTAATGTTACAAGTTTGAACTGAGGAGGGAAGCTGACTCTGCTGTACAACCCGGACTCACACTGGAGTCAGTGAGATCAGTTCATTAAAGCAAAAAAAAAAACGAACTTAATTTGTCTCAGTATACTCGGATCATTTTTCTAAACTGAGATAAATGTTTTTATTGTTATCAAAACAAGCACTTTCTGGTCGCTAACATGCTAACAGCACTAACTTACCTCGGCTCGGTTTTCTTCTGAGGCGGTGATGTGTCTGCTGCTGTCTGTCTGACCGGAAATGGTCCACGAAACAACTGAAGTCTGGATTTGGTGCCTGTTCAAAAGGTCAAATTTCTAATTATTTTTGAAATATTCGAGTTTGAAGTGTTCTGAACACACGTTTCCCTGTACCGTGTTTTCTTTTACCTTTTACCTCGTTCACAGACTTTCATCAGTATGTGTAATTTCACAGAAAGCGTAGCTCCTCACTAAAGGACCAACGCGACAGCAGAGACATTCCGTGTCTCTCAATTCAGGGGCTGCGTCCTGCGTATTGGGGTTAAACTGAGGCGAATGGCTAACGATACAAATGTACCTTCAATCTCATCAGTAGCCGGCGGTAAAGCATCTCCAGCTCTAACAGATGAAAAAATAAACAATTAAAATCAAAGTTTCTGGCTCCATCTTTAAAGAACTTTGAAATAACTTGACAAGAGCGGTGTTTCGTGGTGCAACTGTGAGGGCGGGAACAACAGTGATGCGACGCAAACAGACAACCCGCTGTAGGGCAGACCGTCTCGTTTCGCTCAGCCTTAGCGGGTCTAAGCAGCCTTCGAAGGACACGCCTTCGTACACCACGTCTATCGAAGGATCCAGCCCCTGAATTGGGACACACTGATTGAGAGTCCGTGCAGTTTGGGTCCAAATGAAATGCACCACATCTGCAAACACGTCTGTAGGATTCGTGTTCAAATGTAAGTTCGTTCATATAAGCTGCATCCCAAAGACTTACATGTTGAAGTTAGTTTAGTAAGCTTTCTAAAATGTGTGGTGGTGGATCACTGAAAAACAGTCTGTTTATGTAAGAAGAGCTAGCTATACTTAGCCCGTTGGGTAGCAAATTTTAACGATAAAAATGCTACACAAATTGTGCTACATATTGTTGAAAGAAGGCCAGTAAAATGTTAGTTTAACAAGGTATGAAATACACCTGTTTTAAACAACTACAAACAAATGAACGCTTTGCTTCCCAGTTTATCTTTCCCATTATTTTCTCTATCCATCTTCATTTCTCTATCCACTCCTTTCCGATGACATTACAAGGCAGCCTTGGTAGAGGCAGCTCCCAACTCAACTGAACTAAG